ACCTTCCAGGACCCCCTAGGGTCAGGTCAACACCTATGGGGTCACTTTAGTGTTACAGCCACAGGCCTGAAGATGAAATTCTCACCAAATCACTTAGAACCAATGGTTTCAAGAGGCAGGCTCCCTTTAAAAGGCAATTACTGCAGATTAGCTTGTTGACAGTTTTAACTTACAGCTCTGCAGCAAATAACTGCAGCTCTGCAGTTATTAAGACTACATCTTTTCAGATTCCTTTTCTCACAAAATGATAAAAATAAATTTTAAAAATGCTTTGGAGTGTGGGGCAGTTCACAAGGAGAAAGGATTTGGGAGGCTGCATGACTTAAGGCCACCTAAACTTCCTTCATTGGGTTAAAGGAGGAAGCGCCAGGGGCCCAGAGCTCCACCCATTTAATTAGGCTGCAGCATGGAGAACACTTGGTGGGGAGCTCATGCCCGTTTTCAGTAAGCCAGGGTGTGAAGGCCCAGGTGAACTGGAAGCACTGTGGGCGCGTGTATACATGTGTGCACAAGTGGTGTACATTTATGGGTACCCATATACAGGCACACAGACGTGTAGGTGTGTCGGGGAAGTCAGGAGAGACGATGAGTGCACCGAACCTTGCTGCAAAAGAGCGAAGCACAGTGCAGACGGCACCCAGAACATTTCAGTTAACTTAACTGCAGGCCACCGCCGCTGCCAGTGACCGCCCTGTAGCTCTAATCCCAGGGTTGCTGCAGCCGCCCGCGCGCTGGCAGGGGCGGCGCTGACCTAGCCTGGCGCCTGCCTCCCGGAGCCTGCCTCCCTCCGGGCCGGCCATAAGAGTACCTGCCATTTGCAGCGGCCGCGCCGGGTGCAGGGGGCTGAGTGGGTCGCCGGCGCCCAAGCTGGCTCTCTCCACCACATCGTGGTCTGCGCGACAGAAGAGCCCGTCCTCCCGCAGCGCGAACTCGTCCCCGGGGATGAGCTGGCGGCTGCAGGCCACACAGCGGAAACACTCGATGTGGTACACCTTGGAGCGGGCGCGCATCACGAAGTCGTTCTTGCTGAAGCCAATGCTGCACTTGGCGCATTTGATCCCGTACAACCTGCGGGGCCCGGGCCCGGGGCGGGGAGAGAAGCAGAGGGAGAGGGAGTCACTTCAGGCGGACGCTGCCCTGACCCAAGGCGGCCGGCGTCCCCGGGCCACAAGGCCCTGAAACACTGAAATCAGTATTTGCAGACACGCTGAGAATGGAAGAATATATGTGATTAGGTTCCTCTCACGTTTCCCTCTCCCCTTTCTTTTATTCCCTTTTCCTTTCTTAGAAACCCCCATGTTTGCATCTGCACCTCTTAGCTCAGAACACCCAAGTCCATACAAAGGAAAGATATTTGAAGTGTTCTGAACCCTGGGCCGCTGCTCCGGCGATCAGTCGCAGGGTGGCCCTTGCATCCGTTTGCAAGGATGGAGTCCAGGGAGACTCCAGGAGCCATGGTCCCACACTTTCGGCTCTCTATCCCCCAATTTCTGCTGCTGGAAATATCTCTAAAACTGCAACAAAAAGTACTCCTTCCAAGAGAAAGGCAGGCCGGGGAATGAGACTGTCACCCCGCTCAGTTTGCAAACACAAGCAAATGCACAAGCAGAATAACAAAATGAAACCTGAGGGTTTCCAGATCCCTCTCTTGCACAACAAGTCCACTGCAGTTTTTCCGGAACTCAAGATTTTTCCTCAGGCAACAATGTTAACAGAAAGTTTCCTCTACAGTCTTCCTTGTATCATTATTTGAAAAATGTGCTTCTGTTCCCTCAATCTTGTCCAAATTACTGAAGTATCTACCTCTATTTCAGTTTGCTTGAGAGCGAGCCATGGCCGGCCAGAAAATTGCAAAGACCCACTTGTGAGGTTTTCCTTGCTTCTGACCTTTCCTTACCAAGAAACAATCTTTGTAGGTCCCCTCTTCAAAGCACTGCCCCTGGCCCCCCTCACCATGTATCAGTAGTAACAGAAGCAGGGACATTTCTACAAACTGAGAGAAGGGAAGGGAGGAAAAGATCCACACAAAGCAGGGAGGGATGTACCTCACTCCCCCAAGGGGAGAAAGGCATTCCGAAATCTAAATGGTTTCTCTGTTCTGCATTTACAACTACAGGATTTCAAAAGGACACACGTGTGTGTGTGTGTGTGTGTGTGTGTGTGTGTGTGTGTGTGAGAGAGAGAGAGGGGGGGGGAGAGAGAGAGAGAGAGAGAGAGAGAGAGAAAGAGAGAGAGAGAGAGATAAAGGCGATTGGCTCCTTCCACAAACGTGTATCCAGAGTTAGGCACACGCAGGTCTGCATGCAATTGAGCAAAACACTATCTCCATAGGAGTAAAGAGACTCCTGGAGGGGCGAAGGGAGCTCTCTCTCTCTCCACAATCGGGAGCTCACACACCAATCAAGTAAACAATGAAAACGAAAACGGCTCATTTGTCAGAGCTAAGGTAGATTCAAAAGTTTTGCTTCCCTCCGCCTACTCTAAATCTTCCATTTCATAGGATGAGGACTTTACCTTGCTTGTGACCAAACAATTTGGAAAACCCCTCCCCCTTCCTCCAGTTCCCCACTTCCCCTATTTCCTCCCTTTCTTCCCCTCACCCCCATCAAAGTATTAATAAACTTTTTTTTGGCACGGTTCAGTTGTATTATGAAGATTCTACTCTCCGCTTCATGATTTTTTAAAAAAGGAAAAACTCCTGGATACTAAATAAGCAGAAAATATTGTCACTACATACTTAAATCTTCACTAAACTTTAATAAGAGTTCTCAGCTCCAGAAAGTCTGTAACTTACAAATGCTGTTTTCTTGTTAATAGCCACTAGAGAAAGTTTTAAAACATATATAATTTTGGTATTATTTAAAATAATACTGAAGATGTTATCTCTTCTGTTTGTTATTGAAACAATAGAATTTTCTTTAGAAGTTCAACTGGCTTCCTAAGGCAGAAAATGAAGTTTTCTGACATACACACACACACGTCAAAGAAAACTGGAGCTTAGCAAAGAATGAAGTTTAGACACAATAAATTGAAAGAAAAAAACCCCTCAAAGTTCCTTATGTGGCTGTAGTCTGGTCAGTATAGGCAATTCGCTCATTTTATCAGTTACCAGATTTTAATGTGAGAAAGGAAGCTGTTCAATTATCTAAATATACCAATTGTTCGTAGACAGATGATGGGCAATTTGATCTGTCTAATTCATCAGCTCAGATAAGATAAGAAAGAAAAGACAGTCAGATGTCACCAAAGGGTTAATATTTAAAAAGATTAAATTTCCGGTCTTTTTGCAGGGAATATTTGGGTTGGTTTCAAATTATTCCAGGTAGAAACTCTTACCCTAAAGGTAAAAGGTGCAATACTTCTATTTGCTCTTTTAAAGTGCATCTCTAAACACGCTTAGGTTAAACTTTTATTTCTCCCATTACACTGACATCTCCAAAGAATTTATAAGTTACTAATAAGATACTGAACTAAAATAAATATATAGAAAAGAAAAAATGCTGCATGATACAATAAAAATCAACCTTTTTTAAGTTCAGAAATCCCAATTTATCCTAATTTAAAAATGTGTTGTTTTGTTTTGTAAGGGGAAGGGTAAAAGAGGAAAATAATTTGAGTTTCACGTATTCCAAGAGCAATTAAACAAGCTTCAATACCACACAATTTATGAAAACCACTATTGGGTTTTGCAGGGGTTTTTTCCTAAAAAGTGAAATGAACAGCATAATTTAATTTATGTAACACACATACTGGGTAACTTTTGCACGCTGGACCCCACTGAAGCAAACTTTGCAAAAAGACAAAGGCACACCAAATAATAAATTGGGAGTGGGGAAAGAAAGGGAAATCCCACAAAATTAAGGAAGCAGTTTAAATGGCGTACCTGATATAATCTCTTTTACAGTAGGTTTTCCCATCTCTAACAAAGCACGTACAGCTCTCGTCCAAATACTGATTACACTCCGCACATTTCAAACATGCCGCATGCCATTCCAAATCCGGAGAAACCCTCAGAATATACTGATCGTGAATTTGATTGCCGCAACCAACACATAGGGAAATCAGACGTTTTTCTGAAATGAAAATAAATACATGATTGACTAACCGTTTACTTCCTACAGAGATAAACACACTTTTAGTGTCGTTCTCTTACAGGGCGTACTCTGGGAGTTGTTTTTCTTTCTTTCTTTCTTTCTTTTTTTAAGAGTATTGCACTTTGGGATGGTAATTGAAGTGTACCATCAAAACCTTGCCTCGTTTTAAAAAGGAGGTGGAATATATGTAAAATGCAGATTTGAATAGCCTACATTTGTAAGCCTAACACGCAATCAAACCCGTTCATTTTGTATTTCTTTTTTCCTCCCTCCTCCCTCTTGGCTATAATCACTGGGAAAGATTATGGATAAGTCAAGCCAAAGAAAAGGTTTTGACTAGAAGCGTTAAGTGAACGCAGGGATGTCTATATTCTCCACGAAGCAAGCTCTTAAATAGCACGTAGAACTGGATATTGTTCGCAAAAGCAGACATCAATACAGTTGTCATTCGTTCTCTTTTGCAAATCTAATGCTAATTCACCTCTCCGGGTATAGTACGTTCTGGCAGACCTTTGCAACAGAATAACCTTCTCGAAGAGCTCAGGATCCCCGAGCTGGAAACCACCACTCTGCCCCAGAAGGGTAGGGTTCTGGAGGGCACACAGGCGAATCCAAACACAAGGTGCGATCAGTTTCCCGAACATCAGAACCGACAGCAAGCATGCAGGCGTGGCGGCAACAAGAAAAAGCCACCTTCTCGCTCTCGCGCTCTCTCCTCTCCAGGCAATGACTCCACTCCGAAGAGCCCTTGGCACCCGTGCCTGAGAGAGACCCCCGCACAAGACCAGCACACCGAGCCCCACAAGGTAAAAGAGCCTCTTACTTTTTGGTGGATCTCCCATGTCTCCCATATCTGTAAGAGGGAGTAATGTCCACAGTGAAATGGTGGTTGTACAGTTGGTGAACAGCCCACAGAGAGGATGCTGGAGCTGTGGCTAAGTGGGAAACAGTGGCCCCGGGGGTTGCCAAGGCTGAGAGAGCCGCTGCCTGGCTGCACCGCGCCCTCGCGGATCGGGGCGTCCACTTTAAGCCTGCGGAGCTGGCGGAGCGGAGGCGCTGCGGCGGCGGCGGACTCGGCGCGGCTCGGGCACCTCTCTTCCTTATCTCTTACTCAAACTTCTCTGCTCCAACTCAGCTCCATCGCCATTGGTCTGACGCAGCGCGCGGGGACGTCAGGCGAGCGCCGCGCCCATTGGCTGCGGGGCGCGCGGCGCAGCTGTTCTGATTATCATATTTCAGCCTCGCCGCCGCCGGGAGCCACTGACCGCTCGGCGAGCCCGCGGGAGAGGATTAGGGCTCCCCGAGGCCACTTGCTCGGGGCTCCTCCGCGCTCCCCCGATGCTCGCGCTGCCCGGCTGCTCTGGCTTTTGGCCTCCCTCTCCTGCTCCTCCTCCTCCTTATCCTCCTCCTCCTCCGCCTGCCCCCTCCCTCGCTCCTTCCCGGCCGCGCCGCCAGCGCCCTGGCCTCCCGTCGCGCTGCTCCTCCGCCCTGCGCTCCTGGGGTCCCCGCAGTCCGGCTGGCCGTGTTGCGCGCGAGGCTCACTTTTCTGCCGCCGGTGGCGAGTGGCTGGTTGGGTAGGTTTTCCTGATGATGAGGTCCCTCCCGGGTTCTAGGCAAAGAGGCGACTTGGAACCAACAGCCCGTTCGGATCGCTTAGATCTCGCGCTTTGGCGCATAGCTCCGGGCCTGGCCGGGCCGGGCTGCCTGGGAGGGTGGGTTCCCGAAACCGGCTGCGTGTGGCGCGCTGGGAGCTGCCTAGGGGAAGAAGAACCGGGAGTGGGATGAATAAACCCAGAGGAGTTGTTCGCTACTGCTACCCCACGACCCTGTTACCCACGACCTCAGATGTCCAAAAACTTGGGGTGGGGGGAAAGGGGCGCCTTAGCGGAGAATCAGGTTGGAAGCGCACAGGTAAAACCAAGTTGACTCCGAGGACTCTCTCCTCCCGCCCCGCGAGGTCTGCTTTGCAGTTTAGCTAGAATTAGCAAGCGTATTAACCCGAATCCAAAAATAAATGACTTTCCAGTAGTTTAAAATTTGTAAAGCGATTTTGCCCTGTCCAGTTTCTCTCTCAGCTGGTTTCCTGCCCTTTGATTTTAAGCAAACGTGTACAAGTAGCTGGTGGTGTTTTGATAATTATTAAAAATGCATTACTCTGAGGGCGTGCATAGAGGAATCTAATACAGAAAAGAACAGCGAAATACCTATTTCACTTCACCGGGTGTGTTTATCTGATAATTTTCTCTCAGGAAACAACTTGAAGAGAGAATGTTTGCTGCACCTCGCCGGTAACCCTTTTCAATAATTTCTTACATGTGCCTGTCATATCTTACAGTCTCCCCAAAACAAAGTCACAGTAAGGCCACGAAGAAACCCCACACTTCTCCCAAAAAGCTTCTAAATAGTTATTCTTTAACGTGACTGCCAGTTTTATCTAAAAATGCCCACAAACCCAAGCAGTAGAAGGGTTAATTTCGGTGTTTTGTTGCCTCGAGTAAACCCGGTGTGTTAGGAAACTCCTTCCTTTGTATCTTTCGCCAGATCTCACCCTTGATAAGAGTTGTGAGCTCTCAGCCGGCCTCAGGCTTGGTTTGCATGGACTGGCTTCTCCAGAGCCCAAAGAGAAGCGAAGATGCGTGAGTGCCCCCTGATCGGGCTAAGGTTTTATCAAGAACATGTATTTGTTTTGTTTTCTCTCAAGGAAGATTTCTAACTGGATCTCATCACTTCAATTTTTGTTATAAGTTTGAGTGTGTGAAATTGAAAGTTGGGTAGACACAGGTTGATAAATTTACCAGACTATTTTTTTTTTTTGGTTTTGGTTTGGCTTTTGATCATAGTTTCTAGCCTCTGGTATTATATGCACAGAGCCTTTTGTCAGGCTGCTGTTGCAAAACTAACGCTAATAATCACAACAAGAAGCAAGTCTTCCCGGTATACAGGCATGTTTCCTGTATAGATAACCGAGTTGACTCTAGTAAAAAAAAGAGATACCACTATACCACCAGAAAGTAAATAGAGGATTTTAACCAATCATAGTCCATCATGCCACCTTGAAAACATGGAATTAAACAACAAGCTGCCAGAAGCCTGATGACTTATATTTGAAATCCACAAAGTACCCTCACTATCCATCCTCCTTCAAGCCAGCCCCACACTCAGCGTGGCATTTTAACTCCCTCAACTAATAAACTGCTCCAAAGAATTATTGCCAATGTTGATAGCAATTCCAAATAGAAAAGCTGGCATGTGCCTTGGAGGAAAACCGTTAGGAATGGGCAATTTCATCATCATGGTGAAGACAATGTGTTTTCCTTTCTTCAGTCCACACTGTTAGTGTAAACAAGTATTTTTCTTAATAAGTTCCTAGGCTGAAAGAGGTAAAGATCATGCAGACTGTATGCCCTGTCAGAGGGGAAAATTTGAGGGGAACCAATAATTTTGTTGTTTTGTGATGGATGTGCTCTGGAGTTCTGTTGTGTCTGTTGCCTAATACATTTTACATTAAAATCAAAGTTTGGATAGCAGGCATATATTGTTTGATTTCACCTTGAAATTCAAATATGATCACGGATTATTCCCCTGTTGCCTTAGCTGATAATGTGCATTTAATGTATTAAATATATCTGTAAAAATTTTGTAATATTTGTGTAGAATACAGCAAAATTGTGATTACCACTATTTCCCCCAGTATTTGGTCACAGGAGCGACCTCTTGTGTTCAAAGGGGGGATTAGACCCTCTTGTCAAAAATGGACTCATTTTGACCTTTGCATATTCTGTTAGGTCAAAAATATATCCTTCAAAACAGCAGTTGTGTGAATCCCCTGGTGTGAGCTCTTCTGTTGATGCGATAAAAAGAAGAATATGAGTAGTTATTAAGTATAGTTCCCATTACTTCCAGGCCACCCCAATATACTTTACAGTGTCTTTGAATATAAAAGAGATGCTAAGATTTAATAAGTTCCTCTTGGGTCTGTGGTGTCTGCCCATGTGTGCTTGTACACACCTTCCAAAATGCAGCGATTACACCTAAAACTCCTGGTGGGCTCGTACGCCTGTATTTTTGTGTAATGTTGCTTATTCTGCTTTACTTAAAAAAAAATTAAATTCCATATCAAACTTAATGCCAGCTGCAAAATTCTTGAACAAATACTATGTTCTCAAGCTACTTTTCCCAAAATCTAAATAGGTTTTAATTGCAATTGAAAAGTAGCATTACACATTTAGGATTTATTTACTCTCCAACAACCTCTGGTAAACATAAGTGAATTTTAAGTTGGGTCTTTGGGAAATTATGTACAGCAAGGGTGAAAACTTTTTCCTCCTCAACTAACCAAGACTGGGGAGGAAAGGGGACTTTGATCAACTTTCCCTGAACTATGGATTTGTTTGGGAACTTATTCCCAAGGACCGTGATGCTGTTTAGCCCACATTAGAATCAGTTTGAAAGAGTAGAATAACAATGGGGATGCCAATTTCCATAAGGTATTGAGATGGAAAAAAATATAGCTGAAGTGTTTTTATCTTCCGATATCCACAAACACATAATTTGGGGGTCAAAATGAAACAAACAAATTTTATTCACCTCAGAAAATAGATGTGGGATATATGTATTCCATTCCCCCTTCTTAGCTTTACTTTTTGTGTGTAGTTTAATCATGTAGATAGAATAAGGCTATACAAACCATTAGTATCTTAACATCCAAGAGTCAGATAAAATTATATGCATTTAAAAGGAGTCACGATTAACCATTTATAGTCCACCCAGAGCGGGTTATGGGTGTTTAGAGCTAATTTTTCTCTCTTCCAGTTTTTATTGTTTGTGGCTTATTGAGGATGAATCAAGAAAATCGGTGCTCTAATTTCCTAGAAAAAGAAAAGGGACCTTCTTTACCATTGGGTATGAAATGATGATATTTTTCTCTCCTTTTTGTTTTTTTTTAAAGAATACTAAGCAATGATAATAAAGGCGCTTGTTAGCGACAACAAACCTGTGGTTGTGATTCTCATTTTATTGCCGAGGACTCCTGCTGCGATGGTGGTTTTGTTGAGTGTCAATTGCTTTATTAACCAGTTAAAACAATCTGGGTGAATTAGCAAGACTTCTCTTCTGCACACAGGGCTTCCTAGCCAACGTTTCTGAGTTCAGGTAGTTGTTTCTGTCACCAGCATTTCTGGTATTTGTGAGCAGCCGGCAGCCGGGAGGCAGCGTCCCTGTGCGGTCTGTTGCTTGGTTCTCAGCCGAGACGGGATTCCAGGCTCCCGGCAGCGGCGAAGCCACAAACCTCAGAGCAGCCTTGAGAATGCGAGGTTCCGCTGCACATCGCCTGTAGAGTTCGACCAAGCGAGGGCAGAATTTGTACCCTCCCTTGAAAATTGTGCTCTTGGGGGTATGTGTTATGATTTCACAAAAGCGGCTGCAGTGTCCGGAGAAACCTTTTTCTTCCTTTGTTGTTTCTTTCTTCTTCTTTTTAAAACCCTAGGTAACTAGGAACAGGGAATTTTTAATTGGGCCGGAGTTTTGCGTTGAGCCCAGGTTGGAGCTAGTGAGCGCAATGTGCTGACAGAGGTTCTAGTCCAAGGGCGCACTGAACCTTACATCTAAGCAAAGCCTTCATTAAATGTATTGGATTCTCAAGGGGGGGAGTTGGAGTCTGAGGAGGCGACAAAGCTTTATCTCCGAAGTCTTGGTCGGTTGGACTGAAGGCTACCACGTCTGCACTGAATCTAGCAAAACACCCACGGGCCCATCCGAGCTCTCCAGAAACCCAGAGCAAGTTAACTCAGTAGAGTTGATCCAATGACACCCTTTCTGAAAGAAGGGACAGTCTTTCTCCTACTGCAAGTCCGTCCACCCGGCAGCTCTGAATTGAGCGCCAAAGGAATGATTCCCACTGCCCGCTGGAGGTGGACTGGGAGAGAGCGGGGGAGGGGAGGCGAAGGTACCTGGAGGAGGACAGGAGGAGGAGGAGGAAGAGCAGCAGCAGCAGAAATTGACCAGCCGAGCCGGGGAGGGACGTGGAAGCCGGAAAGGCTACCAGGATGTCTCAACCTTCCCTTAAATCTCAGAACTCAACGCTCCAGAAAACAGCCTCATAACACGGTGTCCAGGGCCGGCGTCCTCGGGTGGGCTGCGGAGGTGATGTCAAGAGTTATAGCTACTTTCTATGAATTAAACTGGTGACTAAAGCGTTTCGGGTGTTTAGTGTAGCTGATAGACGCGTTGGCGGGGGCTGTTTTTAAGGGGAGAGGCAATGATTGGATTTACAATACAGAATACAAGCAGATTCTGAGACTAGAAGAGAAGATGACCTTGGGTATGGAGAAAAATCTTCAAATCTCAGTAAATGGCTAGTCAGGGAGGTTAGATTTTCAGGGACGATTTTGAAGATCGCTGTCTGCGTCGACTCCGCGGAGGAGATTGGGAAGAGTTCGGGGCGCGTGTGCATTTAGAATGATCTATGCCTCCGGATCCACGCGGTTAAGAGAACTCATCAATTCTTGGCGACTTCAAGTTGAGAGAGGAATTTTCCCAGCCCCTTCACCTGCTAAATTCCAATTGGAAAAGGGGGACCAGGAGACGTCCCTTTTTGAGTGTCATTTGGTCAACTCAACTGAATTAATAACTTGCTCCCGGAAGGGGTCAAGAACGCCTTCCCTTCCCACCCGGGCAGCCACGCGGCCCCGAGGTCAACCGCTCTATCCCAGGTAACCTCGCACCAGGGCCCAGGCTCTCCAGCCCTACGGTCATTCCGGGGCCCAGAGCCCTGAGATCAAGTTTCTGGACGTTCCAAGAAGCCCACCCGCCAGGGTTCAAAAATGTGTCTCTAGAAATTTAGCCTAGCTGAGTCCGGGGCGGGAGGGAGGAGGAGGGGGGAGCGAGGGGGGAGAAGGGAAGCGCGAAACAAAGAGACCCCACCACCACCCACCCATCCCTTGGCCTCCTCCCTTCCTGACTTACAATCTACCGACCTTCTAGCTGGACCCCCCCCACCCCCAATATTCTACGCTCAAGGGCATTTTTCTAGTCCATCTTCCCATTGACAAAAGGGAACGGAAATCGAACAGAATCTACGCCCCCTTGCTCTAATTCCTGCTACATCTAAAGAGAAAAATCAAGGTCCTGAAAATCTCTCTCGGTTTCAGTCCGGTCCCGGGATGGCAAGCGCAGCCCCTTTAGAGGCCGCTGGCTCCTTAGTACGAATCTCCTTGCCACTCACATTTGGGACCAGAGGCCCCATGGCCTCGTTCGCGCATCGGTGGGCTGGGGTGGGGATGCGAAAGCAAAGGTGAATCCCGTCGCCCGCGGAGCGAATCACTAGAAGAGGAAGAGTCCCTGCCCGCCGCTGGGCGCTGTCCGGTGGTGGGAGGCCGTCCAACTTCCTAGACGCCAAGAATGGAGAACAAAGTGCACCTTCGGGCTGCAGGTTCACAGATGCAACCCTTTTCGGAAGGTTAAACTTTCAGTTTTAGGTTGCCCCTTCTCCACCCATGCCCCAATCCCCCGGGGTTTCCCCCAAATGAATACACTTGTAGAAATGAAAGACCCAAAATACCATTTTTATTGCTTCAAACTCTGTCAGATCACTTCTTTAAGCCATCTCTGCCCAGAGGCTCAACTTTCTCTAGTGCCTACATTCCAGAAAATTGCAAGGACAACATTCCCTCTGCGCTTGTCTTGGTGGCAGTGCCTGGAAATGCAAGCATAATTGTTGGCGCAGAAAATTTGAGTGAATAGTTTGTTAATATCACCTCCACACAACAGAGATACCCAAGTGTTAGCTGGCATTTTTTTCCAGGTTTGTTTTATTCACTTTACATTGCAAACATGTATTTGGAAAACAAAAGAGAAACCTCCTCAGCCTAGATTCACTTCTGTGCTCTACTCGGGGGGGAGGTGGGGGTGAGTGTGGGGGGTAACCCACATGGGCTGCTTAGCCAGAGGCAGGCGCCTTTGTTGATGCGAGTTCAACAGGCAAGACTCAACAATTACCTTGTTGCCTTTTCTCAACGTGTATCTGCAATGCCTCCATTGTACAAAATTCGATCCAAAAATGAAAAATGAAAAATTAAGGTGTAAAAAAGGTAATAATGGTAATAGAAGTCTACTTTAACTGGCTTGTTTATGGATTGTATATACCACATACACACACGCACACGTGCACACACACAGAAGGTATAAATATACATACACACTACCTTTTATGTATAATTTATATGTTATAAATATATGCTACCAATAACATCATTTTAATATTACAAGATAATTCCATAAAGAAAAATTTGAAATGCTCTTTCTAATACACATAGCACCCTCCTTCCAAGAAAATAATTAGCAGACTTAAAAATATTCAAGGGTGCTTTTATAGGAAGTACAAAATCTGAAACTTCATGAACCGATGTCCTATTAAACATGATGGTCCATAACAGGTTGCTACAGGTTAACACTATAAGAAAATAGTCTTCTGTTTTGCACAATAACATTTTATTTCAGTTGTGCATTTACAATGTGTATTTTACCACTTCATATTCTGAAATCTCTAATCACATATGAGCAAGAAACAAAATCTAAAAAAGTGCCAGGTAATGCTTAAGGAATGATTGTAATTAACTTTTGTAGTTTGACAATATTTTGCTCACCTTTGTTTACATGGATATTAATACATTAAAATTAATAAGAGTAGATAATATCACCACCTCATAATTTGCAAGACATTAATGTAAAGTAAAAGAGCAAGTATAGCAGACTACTTTCTGT